TGCAAAGGCATTTGACAATGTACATCACAAAGATCTGTTAGACTTGCTCAGTAACCTTAACATATTCAGGAAAGAAATTAAAATAATCAAGAATCCATACAGGCAGAAAATGAGTTCAGCAGATACAAAAATAAAAGGGTGTAAGACAAGCATGTGTCTTCTCATCAGATTTAGTCAACCTATAGAACAAGGCAATTCTGAGAGAATTAAAAGTTCTACCAGGATTCATTATTGATGGCCACAATCTTAACAATATAGGATATGCATATGACACAGTGCTGATAGCAGACAAGGAAAGGAAACTACAAAAGCTCCTATAGAAGGTAGTGAAGGAAAGTGAGAAGAAAGGACTAAGCATAAACTACAAAAAGACAGAATGCATGGTTATCAGCAAAAGGATGATCCCATAATGTAAATTACAGGTCAGGAATACTAAAATACAATAGGTACAGAGATATGCATTTCAAAAAGCTAAGCAGAGTATTAAGAGACAGGAAAATTTTGTTAGAAACAAAGAAAAGAGTACTGAACTGTTATGTGATATCTGTCCTACTGTATGGCAGTAAATGCTGGACAATGTCCTTAAAGATGAGGAAGAGACTTGAAGCAACAGAAATATGATTCTACAGAAGGATGCTGAGGATACCATGGACTGAACATGTGAGCAACAACAAGGCTTTGTAAAGAATGGAAACAAAAACAAAAATTATACTTTTTATAAAAGTATAAATTATACTTTTGCCTCTTCTTGATGCTTCAAGAAGAGGCAGAAGTATAATAATAAGGCCTTACTTTCCCTGACGATCTGTTTAGGTGAAACCTAGGTAGGTTTGTCTGGCTCACTAGGTGTATATATATATATATATATATATATATATATATATATATATATATATATATATATATGAGGAAAAATGTATGAGAAAGTGTAAAATGTTTTTTTCATGTGAGGTTTTTATCCCTTAGGCCTTCATTGGAAGTCCTAAGGGATAAAATGCGTCACAAAAACTTATCCCATACACCTTCAAAACTGTTCCTGATATATACAAATTTATATGTCATTATCTGATTATATCATATTATATTAGAGACGTTGGTTTCTGAGCCCACTGAAACTAGAAAAATGTCAATATGAGACTGTAGCTCATTAAATAAATTAATAGTCTGTAGTTAAATATGATGGCGAAAATAGATAACAGATTTTTAGATTCCATCAGCTGTGACTTGTCCCAGGGAGGGATGGGCTGTCAGGTCTACTTGCCTAAAACATGTTACACATGAATGAATACATTGCTGGCTTTCAACCCAGATACAAGACAGAAACTGGTGAAGTGTTCAAATATGCAGTGATCCTATGACCATACCCAGTCACAGGACAAATAAGGATTTATAAATCCTAAACTACATAGGATGCTGGTTGATTTTTAAATGTGCCTTATATGCTGAAAAAAAAATACAGAATTTATGGCTCGGTTACATCAATAATGGTTTCATTTAATAATCCTCACACAATAAAGGCAACGAGTCACTTTTAATAAAAGCATTAAAAATATTTACTTATAAAGTTATCTAAATAGAAATTTGGAATATCTTTTGTTGAAATTTCTTTTGTTTTTAATAAGCAAAGATTTAAGATGTAGCATTTTAGTGAATGTGCCTTGAATTCTGTTTTTTTTTAATATTCCACACAATAATCAACCGAACATCCGAGAAGATTGATTATATCCTTAGTCAATTCTCCTCAGCTAGCTTTCATATCTGTGGTAACTTTGATATCCACCATAAAGAGTGGTTAGTTGACTCCAGCAAAACTGATGTTGACTTCTTCATCACCTAGGAACTAACCCAGATCATTGGAGGATCTGACCTGGACACATCAGGCGGACCCTCTTTGACCTCTTCTGAACCTCCTACACTGATAAATGCTTATCAAATGTTTTATCTTCATTAGGCATGTCAGATTATTCTTTAATCAGTGTCCAGATTAATGCCAAACCTAAAGCATCCCCTGATCTACTGATCCATAGAATGATTTTTCGCTATGCAAAGGCAGACTGGAACAGTTTTTGATTTTGATTCTACATGATGGAGGCTCCACTGCCAACCTTCCTCAAGCATGCTGCCTCAAAAACTGCTGCCCTTGTCAATGATTGGATCCTTTCTGGAATGGAGAGTTTTATTCTGACTAAAAAATTCCAGCAAAAACTAAAACGTCAACCCTGGTTCACCCCTGAATGCACTGCAGCCATAACTCAGTGAAACCATTACTTCAATATCTATCACTATGTGCTATGTAGTTTAGCCCTAAGTGCATTCAGAACTGCCTGCAATCGCTGCAAAAATGTTCTAGAAAACACCAAGTGCAGCTACACACAAGCAGTCCAGGCCAAGGTCAAAATGAAACAAATTGGATCCCGTGAATTCTGGAAGATCACCAACCAAATCATGAACAGAAGTAAAGCGGCTGTGCCAACAATTATAAATGTCCCCGAGGTTACATCTTCCTCGAAAGATAAGGTGAACCTCT